TGTAACAATAATGTCTGAGTTAAGGAGGCAATAAAATGAACACCCAGTTTAGGAACACATCTAACTTATTATGATAGCCCTTAATGCTTCCAAGATGTAAATACTGATTTCTACATCCTTAAAAACACCACAGTTTTACAAGATAATGATTCAGCAACAAAACGCTCACTTTCATCTAAGTGCTGGCACAGAAAGGTTTTAGTCGAAGAGATGAAATGTTCTGCTTTAAGAGCAGGGTGACAACGAATTAGCTGCAGAGACATCTTGGCGTAATGAAGACTGCAAGGCAAAACAAACATGAGCTGCTGCTTTATGTAAGGTGGTTTCAAAGGTTCCTTATGTGTTTACATGTCTGAGGCTTAAGCACAGAAGGCGGGCGGCAGTCTTTAATCTGAAATGGAGACAGAGCCATGAGGTGCCTGTATAAAAGGACTGTGGGATTCTGCTGAAGCAAGAATGGGCTCTGAGACATCAGGTCTCTTCAGCATGGTCACATTATCCCAAGGGAATAAACAGGCGGATCAATGGAGAGCATTTTGTGTTGCTACAGCAGTGTCTCTCTTGACACCTCTAAAGCGCCTGGCAAATATTAACTGCTCCCAAGTGACGACTCTCTTGACAGATGAGCACTGCTCTCAGCAGAGGACATAGCACAGGGAGGGAGTGCAAGCAGCTCCTGCAGCAAGCCAGTGACACTTTAATTAAACCCAGGTATTTCAGTCTACATTTGCTAGGGGTTTTATGATTGTTATTAACTACCAAAATTCCTTTCTGGGTGCGAAGAAACTGAGTTCCAGTCAGTGCCTGACACTGAAGAGCAAATATATGCCAGGGAGAATTAGCAAACACACCAGCCTTTCTCAGTTCCTGTCAAGACACTTCCAACCAGCCTTGCCAGGAGAGTTATTAAGCAAAAATCGCCTGTCCTAGGAAAGCCTATTCCTGTCTCTGAGCATGATGTCCCTGGGTCTTTAGCCAGCAGGTCCTTGCTCAGGAAACTGCCTTGACAAAGCAGTCAAGGGCCCTCTGTCAAATTTGGAAGCACCTCTGGAAACCCAGATATTCTAACAACATTACAGCTGTATAAGCATCTTCCAAAATCAGGATGACAAAGGAGCAACAGCTCAGGCGCTGGACTCAGCCCACGAGGTGCTTCTTCCCTCGTCCCTACAAATGCTGGCCAGATCCCTGATGGAGCAGGGCTGCAGATGGGGTTGCAATGGGGAAAAGTATGTGCCCAACCTGTATGAGATGAGCATTACTAGGTCAGGATATATCATCTGACATTTGAACAAGCTGCCTTGGAAGCACCTGTTTGCATGGGATGGCTGGAGCAGTCAGTGTAAGTGAGGAAACCTGTGCAGATGTTTGCTCTCTGCTGGACTTGTGGCCATTCCCAATATGCCAGGCTCTTCCCTCAGATATTTCAGCTGTCTTTGTGTCCCTGTTCTTTCTAAGCTGGTCTCTAGCCCATTCCATTATCAAGTGATATAACTTTTTTTAAGATTAATGCTTCAGCCTTTTTGACTCAGGCTGCATCCTTCCATTTAACATGGAAAGAGAACAGCACCTCCCAGACACAAAAAGCCAGGAGTCACAACTCCTGACATGGGCCAGCTGTTGCAGGAACATCCATGAGCACTCTCACTGAAACCCTCAGAAGTAAAGTGCCTCCCCCAGAGCAGGCAGCAACATCATTTCAGCTCTGGTGGCTCCATCCTGGGCACCTCCGACTTCCTGCAATGGAGGCCCACCTTCACTACACTTCCCTGTGTGCTTGACTCACTACAATTGGGGCAACCCAGCAGGAGATCTGTAACTTAAAACCTCTTGGAGAGACTGGGCAGAGGGGAAGAGGGTAAAGGCCATCAAAGGTTGGTGGGTGAGGGTAGACCTCTCCATACCCTTGATGAGCACTGGACTACTCCAGGCACTTAGGAAACACTCTACTGCTGGCTGAGATAGACCAATAGTAACTATAGGGTGAGGGAACATAGTAACAGCATTTCCATTTCTGAAGGGAAGACACGACAAAGGAAGGAACCTCTTAGAGTAACAGAAGGAAACTCAGATGTAACCTGAAACTCGGGAGTAGAGGAGGATATCTGATCAGAGAAAGCTTCTGAACATGACAGGAGTGGAGCAAGATTCACTCCCAGGACAAGCGGTGATAAAACCCTTTGCTCAGATTTCTGGCATGTGTCTCTTTCTTTTTTTTTCTATAACCTACATCTGCTGTGAGAGCCCCAAACCACCGACCCAAGAGCAGGACTTCTGACCCTGCTCCCACAGTGCAGAGGGTTTGGTTGGCAGGATGACCTGCTGCCTCTGAAGTGCAGAAAAGGAAAAGCAGAGGCACAGTCATGTTTGCTCTGGCATGTGGGGGCTGTAGGGCCAGCCATCTGCTGCCAGACTTCTCCCAGATCACCAGCCTTGAACCATCATGGCTCAGCTCAGCTCTGGAACCAGCTGCTACCCGTGCTTTGGCTGCTCACTGCTGCCTTGACCAGGGCTCACAGAACATGTCTCTGGAGCTGCTGCAGAAGTGCTGACTTCTCCTGAGCCCTCAGCAGGTTCATCAGACCTCTGGCAGCTGTCAGCGATACTTCTCTGCTGAGAAAGGCCAGGTGCAGTCCTGCCAGAGGCTGAGGGCCTCTGTAAAGCACCTGGCCCAGCCTTGCAGACAGGCTATGGCAGCGAAAGCAGGACTGACTGCAACAGCCACAGTGCCCGCATCAGCCAGTGGGTCAAAAAGCCAGATCGGATGGGGGAAGTGGTACCTGGGCAACGTCACAGCCACAAACTCTACCAGTCACAACCCCAGAGCAGCCACTGAGGGATGTAAATAGGATGGGCATTAACCTAAGTTGCACTATTATGATTAGCCAAGTCACAGCTGATATCACAAGTTGTTTGGCCAAACCATGGAGGTCCCGTAGCCTCATGGCACAGAGGAACAAGACAGCACTGACAAGACACCCTGTATCTACGACACCTTTTTCACCAGCAACCACCACTCTGACCCAATAGGTCTGCAACTTCAGTGAGATGGGCAGCCCACGTTCTCCCACTTAAGGTTTTTCAGATGAGATGAGCTATACAAGTAGCACTATAATTGTTGCTGCCTAACACCAAAACCACCCTTCAGGAAAACCAAAGAGTAAGAGCTCTTGGTGTATTTCTTCCAAATCTCTTACTTAGAGTCTCACAAAAGCTTCAGATGGAATACGGACACTAGAGATGCTTCAATCTTTTGTAAGTCTGCTTGTCAAAACACACATTCTACATAAGCACACAGTGCACTATGATAAGGAGCACCGAAATCTTGGTTGACCGTTGGTAGAGGTCACAAAAGCATGATTATAAGTCCTTTGCCAAATGTGTGTTCATTTTGTTGTTGCATCCACGATGACTCCATAACCTCCTGGGATATCCCTCTGATCTCCCAGAAAGCCATGCGGGATTAAACAGCCTGGGAAATGGCTCTGGCTGTATTTTCAAGTCTTCAGCTGCCAAGTGTCTTGGAAAGCTGATGATCAGCACTGCCTTGGGGTGAGCAGGCAGAGGAGTTCCCTGAAATCAGGCTTTTCAGTACAGACCTAGGCGATGAGCATTGAGTTTTAAAAACTTTTGGTGGCATAAAGGAAGAGGAACCAGAAGATAACTAAAGTACACGCACACACCCGACACTTGCACTCTCCGCCACAGAGAGTGAGCAGGCAGCTCCGTGAGGCGCTCAGTGACACAGCCTGCCATCCCCGGGACACCTTGGACATGCCTCCTCTGATGCTAAGAGCAACTTGGACTAGGATGCTGCCTTGGTGCTCACTGCCTGCTCAGAAACCTCTGGGAAGCAGCTCTGCAGGAAAGTTTTGGAAAGCAGCAAAAAATAGGAAGTGCAGAAGCACAGTGAGTTTTGGAGGAGAAATTTCCTCAACTCAGTTCCTTCTGAATTTTCCAAAACCACACTTCTCTGACAATCCTGCATGTCACAGCACTGTTCCACAACTTCAAAACCACCTATGGTGTTTTTTCCAGAGGAATAAAGGTGTTAACATAAAGATGTTCACTTCCCTAAACAAAGCAGGAGCAAGGCAAGGTCCCACAAGCAACATGCTCAGCAGCACAATACACAGCTGCTTAGTGGTCAGGGCCAGAACCGAACCTCTCAGCATGGATTTTCTTACGAGTTAGCCATTAACCAAGAAATGACACTGTCAGACACATCCTTGCAGCAGAGACAATCCTCCTGCCTCAAAGGTGCCATGCTGCGGCAAGGCTCTCCAAATGCTGGGTGCAACAACATAACCAGCCTGCGAGTGCAAGTTCTGCTTGCATTTTAATATGGGTCTAGAGGTTGACAGCTGTAAGTGTTCTGCTCTTGCTCACTCGCCTGTGGACTGTCGCAGCCAGTTCAGAGCCATGGCCAAGGGCACGCACTAAGTAACCAACTGCTTATGTTAGTAGGGTGATTTGCAGATCCTTTGTTCATGTTCATGAATATAGTGGCTCTAGAGAGCCTCTCCCTTTCCTTTCACCCCTGTGGCTCACCGCGTTTTACAAAACACAACGGATGGAAGATGACAGGCATCAACGTCAAAGCACGGGCTGAGGAAGATGTGCTTCAAGATCAGCTCGTTGCAACACAGAACTAAAGCCTTCAATTCCCCAAAGCAGCTCAGCTGTGCAAGCCTGGAGCAGAAGGAGCCAGAGGTGGGAAAGGTCATCCCTGCATCCCCCACTCCTGGCCACCAGGTCCCCGCTCTGTCCCTCAGGCTCAGTCAAGCTGTCATGATTCTTTCTGACCCGATTTAATGATTTGCATATGCCCTGAAGCCAAAATGATTGACAGCCCTGCCACTGTTATCCTCACTTGTGTAATTGCAGCAGCTATTCTTGTACATTGAAATGTCTAATCTTAGCAAGCCACAGAGCTGCTCGATAATATGGACCAACTGGGAATTTCCATGCAATTACTCACCACAGCTACTGGCACTTACTTTGGCTGGTAAAAGTCCTTCTTGTCCGCTGACCCCAGGCTCTGCAAGACACAAAAGACAGATGTATTTCTTTAACACTTCGCCAAGCAAGTATCATTGATGAAGATGTGTGGCGAGCAGGAAAAGGCATGCACCTATACTTTTTGCTGCCCGGTGGGTATTTGTGGGCTGGCTGGACAGGGCAGACAGCTAGGATCTTCAGCCACTGGACACACTGTAGGCAGAGACCACAGCAGCCAAGGATGTAAAAATAAAGTCAAAGCAGAGGTGTGGGAATGCATTAAGTCTGAACCCAACGTATTCAAGCATGTCTGTCTCTCCCAACACTTGCAGAAGCATGGCACCTTGTGTCAGGAGGTGACTTGTGTCCTCTCAAGCCTGCCCAGCTGTAAAGTGGACAAAGTGCAGGGTAGGCAGATGGACTGAGCCACCACTGCCTGCAGAGACCCTCCAGCAGGGCAGGGGACTGAGCCCAGGGCCCACAGTCACTCCCTGGGGGCAGGACCATGAAATTCCTCTGCCAAGAAGAACGGCATCAGATTCCCAAGGACATGCAAGCTTTCGGAGCAGAGACAGCCTGATGCACACTCAGGTTCCCATGCTCTGCCAACTCCACTGACAGCACAGTCTGCTAAAAGCCTGGGAGCATGCTAACACAGGCTGCTGGAGTGCTGGGGTCCCCTGGGAGACCCCAGCCAGGCTGAGCCTCCTCACAGGGAGCCTTGGGGCCACAGGCATCCCACAGAACTTGCTTCAGGTGCAAGGCAGGGCATGGGCATGACACGCACAGAGCACATGTGCACTGCCGTGCCTTGCCCTGCTGTCTGATGGGGCTATATACACCCACATATGCCCAAGACTCTCCCCCGTCAGCCCTTGTCTCATAGGAAGCCGTGGCAGAGGCTGGCCCCCTGCCCTGCTCGTGGCACGCTCTTGCTGAGTGCGGCAGGGCCCCCACCACGGAGGGACATGGAGGGGCAGGCTGTGCCCGACATAGCATGCTGCTCACGGAGAGCAGCGCCGGGGCAGACAGACAGACAGATCCACCAAACCTGGGTGTCAGCAAAGCCGCCGCACTGCCAGAGCCCTCTCCTCCTTCTCCTCCTCCTGGGGATGGTCCTTGCCCTTGTACCTTTCCAGGATGGGGGACAGTGGGCAGCGGCGTGGGGTGGCCCCACCATCCGCCCCGTCCCTGTCCCGGTGCAGGCAGCAGACGTGTGCCGGCGTGCACCAACACTTGCGGGAAGCACACTGGGGCTCTGGGGCTGCTGTTGTAGTTTTGCTCCGTGGTTGCCAGGCAATGGCGAGCACAAACGCCAAAGCAGCAGGAGCAGCGGGGCCGAATGCTAATCAGGGGCGCAGGAGCTCTGCTGGCACTCTCCACTGGTGCTCCCCCTCACCGGTCAAAGCTGCCGGGTGCTCCTACCCTGGGACTGAAAATCAAGCGGGGAGAGGAGGGACCCAGCTTTTAAGCAGGCAGGGATCCACTGTCACCGAAACTTCTCCCGAAAAGGTTCCTCTGGCCAAGCCAGCAAGATGGGGCCGTTGTTTGGCGGTGGCTGAAACTAAACCTGCAGGGTGGGATACATGGGTCTGGATGTGTGTCACCCTCCTGCACATCTCCCGGGCACACACTTGAGCTCTGCCTTGGGGTAGAGCTGGGAGCACACAAGGAGCAGCCCTTTGGGGTGGGAAGATCTCATCTGCCCGCATGCCGATTCCCATGTTGGTGTGCAAAGCTCTGAGCGATCCCCACCAGCCAGAGATGGCAGCACCCTATGGCTCTACCCGCTGCTTCCCCTCCTCTGACACGACAGCAGCAAGAAGCTACAGAAAAGCCCCACGGGCTCAGTGGCCAGACACCAGAATGGGGTAACCCAACGTTGGCACAGAGAGGTGGTGGAGTCTCCAGCCTTCCAAAAGACGTTCAAAACCCAACTGGACATGGCCCTGGGTGTCCAGGAGAACCCAGTGTAGATGACCCTGCTTTGAGCAGGGGGTTGGACTGGGTGATCTCCAGGAGATCCCCAGATCTCCTCAACCACTCTGTACATTCCTGAAATAGCAAAGAAATGAGCACAGCTAACTGCACAGAGCAAGTGCCCTGAGTGGTGGGACCTGTCCTCCAAGCTCATAGCACATGCTGGAATACTCCATTCCCTCCGGCACAGCATTCCCATAAGTATTTCCTTACTTCTTTAAACTTGACACCTAAAACCCAGGGTGCTGGTTCCCAAACTATAGATTGGTTGCAATAAGGTTCACAAGTCATGACAAATTCAGTTCCTTCTGCTACCCACGCTAGCAGGGATCACACAGATCTGCTGATATTTAAGGAGAAGCCACTAGCAAACAGCTTTCTCAACACTATTGAAACAATACAGAGGAAACCTGCATGCTCCACAGTCAGATCCCCCACCCAGACTCAGCTGAGGTCCATGGGAAAAAGTTCCCATCAACCCCATAGCCAGCTCCAGACAGTACCTGACCTTTCTGATAACTGATAGCAGCAGGAAATGATGCTGACATTTTTCTACATTTCTAAAATGCCGGGGGGGCTATTACTATCATCAATATTCCCAGCACAGGAGACGACAAAATCTGCAGCAGCCTTTTCACAGAGTCATGGGTATCACAAACATTAACCTCCACTTGTCTTTGCTAGGATGGAAGCGACGATCTCTGAAATCAATCCCTAATAAGGGAAAACCATGTGGAAACTTGGAGAAAAGAAAGGTTATCACCTTCCAGTTCAGCTCTTGCAGAACAGGAGGTGGAGAAGCTCCAGCAAAGCCACGTGCTCTGTGCCCACACCGTGCCATGGCTGCAGGTGCCCACGGGACCCACAGACTGCCCACCCTGCCACACACTCTGCGGGTCACCAGCCCGGGTGTGCCACAAGCCGCTGGTAGGATGAGCTACACAAGCATGTTAAGAGAAGGGTTTACTGTGAGTTTATCAAGCAATTATTTTTTAAGAGTCACAGAAAACTAAGGAGGTTTTCTGAAGATATCTGGAATAAAACAATGAGATACTAACTTCACAGAGAGAAAAAAAAATGTGGAGTGATTGCAGCAATGATTAGCCAAAATAGCTGATTTTAAAGCTGATTAAGAAATAGCAAATGAGGAGGAAAAGCAGAATTCCAGCAATGTGTTCAGGGAATTGGGCCTGGAGCAAGGCCAGGAGCCACGGATCAGCTCCTGGCTCTACCATCACTCCAATGGCCTTCAGACATTTCTTCCCTCTCCATGCCTCAGTTTCCCCATACTGCCTCTGCGCAGCCCTTTGCCTCCTTCCCAGATAAGAAAGGGACCATGCCCAGTGGTCAGGTGAAGTCTCACAGGTCCACCCCACGACACTGCATTTCTTTCTCCCAAGCACACACAAAACCAAGGTGGCTGTGGATCCAGAGGGCTCCAGGAGAGTGGCAGGAAAGTAACTTGGCCACAAGAATCACTAGTGAATGGAGGAGACCTTGCTGGATGCTGGAAGACGTGATGCCTGTGCAGGAGAAGGTGGTCAGGGCCAGCAGCAAGACCTAAGGCAAAGACAAGTTTTTGACTCTCTGTAAGCAAGATCCTCATGAAAAAGTGGAAGAAGTGAGTGCAGGCACACATGGTGTCACAACAGGAGCCATAGACAGGGACCACCCACCAAGGTGGTTAATAAACCAGGTAAAGGATAAACCAAAGACACCGTGAAAACTGCAAGTAAATCAGTGCAGAGCCATCAGCAGGAGGAAGGAGGCGAGAAGTCAGCGATTCCCTGAGACCACAGGGCACCTTGACACTGGCCTGACTATGTGCAGCAGTTCACCATAAGATGTTGCTGTAGTAAAAATAAAATGCCCAAGGCATTTTTCCAAGGGCAGGGACATCAGAACAACCTGATACAACCAGCCAGGAGCACTGAGAGAGCTCAGAGCAGCACCTGGAAAGATCCTCCCAAGCAGGGGAGCTGGCCTTCACCGATGGCTTGGAGATAGGAATGAGAAAGCACTTCGGGAACTGGTGATGGGAGGCTGCAGGCAGGACCGAGCATGGGTGCTGCCTGATGTAACATGGTGCATGAAGGGGAAGCAGCTGAAGCATCTTGCCTGAGGCAGCAGCGTGGGCTGCGACAGTGCCACGAGCCTCTGTCCCACTGCACCAGGTACCATGGTCTCAGCCAGCACCCGCAAGAGGGGAAGATTATGGAAAAGTGGTCAAGCGAAGGATGGGACATAAGGAAGCTGAGTGAGGGAAAGGGAACACACAGCCTGACTCTTAGATAAAATGTCCTGGCACTGAGCTTGAACAGAGTTTGAACCAACTCCAGTGGGAGGGATAGAGCAGTGTTTCTGAGGGGTTTGAAAAAGCCGACTAGATAAACCATTGAGGCTGGCACAGAGGGGACTGTTCTGGCCTTACAGGGAGGTGGGACTGGCTTTTCTTCTCTTGCCTGTGCCCGGGGACTGAAAGAGCCAGAGAGCTCCCAAAAATGCGTAAAAGGTGACCTGGTATTTTCTGGGAGGAAAGATCAATTTCCCCTGAACTGATATGGGATCTGGAGGCTTTTAACTATGCAGGTATACAATAAAAATCAAATGCCAGCCTGAATGCGTGCACTGTTGTTGGTTGATCTACAGGCTTCCAGGAGAGTTGTCTGCTGGTGGCTCCTGTGCATCAAGGTATAGCTGGGGTCTCCAGAGAGGCATGGCTGCAGTGGCATAGCTCGGGTCCCAGAATAAATCTGGTAGCCCCACAGTCTCCCAGAGACCTGCGGCTGCTCAGGATGCTGGGGGAGACCCTGGTCATCCCGGGAGGGAGTGGAGCATCCCCCAGTTCAAAGAGTCCCCTGCAAAGCTCAAGCCCCCCCGCAGTGTGAGTCACCTCCCAGCCCGACCTGCTGCGCTGCTTCTCACTTGCTCATTTCATTGATGACTCAGGGTTTAGGAAGCACATTTTAAATCCCTTAATGAAATAATGGAGAGAGTCACTTTTATCAGCCTATATTTTTAAAGCAAATACTTCAAGTGAGTCTTGTGCCCATTTCCACC